CATCACATTAAAAAATATGTCAATATCATTTTATCTTAATTTAAAAAATAATCAAACTTTTATATATATAGATTGTGCAATTTTCATATATAAGATAGGCGAAAAAAAAGATGAGAACATGATAGAAGAGTAATGCTCCCCTACCCACGGTGGACACATGTTAATATGTCCACCGGTTAAATATATTAACATCACCAATGTGTGGATGCCACATAAGCGGTGGACATATTAACATGTACCCACCGGTGGGTAGGTGAGCATTCTAATTCCATGATAGAACTAGTTAAGTTGACACGATAGTGATGTTCATTGCTAAAAATCAACATATATATTACTAATTTTCCACATCAAATAAAATGTATTTGGTGGAAATAAGAATAGGTCTCCATTAAAGTCGAATCCCGACATAAAATCCAATACAAGTCAAAACTAGTGATACATGCTATTTTTAGATATGATAATTAACTAGTGATAACATGTCATTATATAAAACTCGTACAAAAACGTGACCTAGTATATGTAAATGTGTTCTAATTCTTTTAACAAATAAAATATTATTTGAGAGTATAATAAGTAACAAATAAAACAATAGTAATGCGAAGGGAAAAAGAAAAAGTCAAAATATTTATTAGAGAAGTATGGATATCACACTACAAAAAAATAGAGTTCTAGTGAAGAATTTTTTTGTTACTATATCTACGATTGTTGTCACTATGTTGTCACTATATCTAATGTCAGTATATCTACAGTTGTTGTCACTATATCTACAATTATTGTCACTATATCTACAATTGATATAGATATAGTGACAATAAATGTAGATATAGTGACAGTAGATATAGTGACAACACAGTGACAACAAAATTCTTCACTAAAACTCTATTTTCTTGTAGTGTCAATATCTTTTTTTTTTTTTTCCAAAACGATAGAAGTACTATATAAAAGGCGCACAAAAGTGCGGAATTACAAACTGGGAGGCTAGACCGAAGTCCGCCTAGAATCGCTGGCAACGCCAGAATAAAACCTCACGCAAACAACGAACAAAAAGAAACAAACTCCCAACAGGAGAAAAACACAACTACAACACATACACAAAACTAAAAACTAAATGCTCCCAACAGGAGAATGCCTAGGTGTTTGCTCCCAACAGGAGAATAAGGTAACACCTAGGGATATCAATATCTAAAAAACAGAAGTTTTTCAAAATTACTAAACTCTTTGTTGCTAATGGTCAAATTCTCATAAATTAAGGTCCTATATTATTAATTTTGAATTTTAAAATAATTATTAATTTTAATACTTTGTAATACATAATGTATATATTAATAATTATTTCGCAATAATAAATTTACAGATGACTATGAGTATTATAAGTTTTAATTATTCTCCTCCTCTCAAATATTTTAACAGATATGTTTTTCAATATTGTCTAATTGTTTTGCTTTGTTTGGTTTTGTCATTGTTGAACAATCCTAAAAAGTATCTTAAATTTTCGAAGTATTTTGTATGATGCAGAAGTTGAACAACAAAAGAAATAAGTATTGTAAATCTGAACGAATGCGAAATATATTATGATAAACAACTCTATCTTCCAAATGACAACACTATAAAGGAAACAACAAAGTCTGATCAAAACATTATGAATATTTGAATGAAGTTATCACTATTTGATAGAAATATAACAATTTCATTGTTGTATTGTGCTTGACATTTGTGCAAGTACTTTAGAGTATATACTTTCATGCAATGGTGATGATTTCAAAAAATAATTTTACGTCTCGGGATAAGTACATACAATCAAGATTTTGAAAAGTCAACATTTATTTAGATGAAATTCATTCTCACTTGTGGGTCGATGCCTCCATGGGATAGGTATCAATTTGTCTATATGGGGATACAATAATTTATTAGTCATACAACATCTAAAAAAACCTTAGCGATTTTAATGACACTGTTGATTGTTTCATAGTGTATTCATGAACATAGAAATACCTTATAAAGATTATCATATAATCATGATGTCTGACTGTATGCTTGGCCAAAATATTTCTATTTGTTTGAATAAAATAGACGTTTTGCCAAATGATAAGAAGAATTTTGCAATACGATTAATGATTGAATTCATCTGTATGGATTTTTCTTATGAGAACTCAAAACTAAAATGAAAGAAAATCATCTTGAATCATCTAACACAAAAAAAAAGAACAAACTTTTGATGGATTGATTGATAAAAAATATGAGGGGAATAGACAGTGCAAAAATACTTTGTAAATCATAATTTATGAAAGAAATATAGAAGAAAATTATATTTAATAAATTAAATAATATATTTGTTCTATTTATTTCGTTTTTGTAATGATGGACTCATTTGTTCTATTTATTTCGTTTCTGTAATGATATATATAACAAATTAAATAATTTATTTTAGTAAATTTAATCAATAAAAAATATTCACCACTATGTAAATTGCACGTGCACTTTATTAGTATTAAAAAAAAAGATCTAAAAATTTATGGTAACTAATTCTGAAAGAAAAATCACTCTGATTTTGAAAGGTAAAAAAAAAAAAAAATGTCCTTTTATTGGTGAGTTTAATTATATTTTGCCATTTCTACCAAAAATAAAAATAAAAAAAAACATAAATCTATACGTATATTAAAAGGAAACCTATTTACTAAATATAGTAGGTAGAAAAGTCAACTTTAATTAATGAACTTCTAATTTTATCAAGTAGTAATTAATGCATTTATAATTTTAATCAAGTTTCCTATTTTACATATTGTTTTTAATCCTTCTTATATTGACATAAAAAAAATCCCATAAAATGGGATGAGCAAAAACAATCAAAATTCTGTTTCTAAAAACTACAAATCAATATTACGATTTTGAATAATACACTAACAAATTATAATATATTTTTATAAAACTTTAAAAAAACTATTAAAAAAACTTGGTTCATATATTTGTATGGATATTTATATTTTTTTAATATTATCTTTGTGTTAAAAAAAACTATTTAACACTATTCTTTTTTATTATATAATAAAATAATAATTAAATATTATATGATGAACAAGAATAAATAAAATTGTTACTTACTTTTATATCAAGGGATAAATTTATATACTGAAATTAAAGTTTTATTAGTATAAATATTTTAGTGAGATAATATATTAATTATTTTACAAGTTAGCCCTAACATATTCATATTTAAGTTCTGGCTAAAAAAAATACTAGTTAAAAGATATGAAAAAAAACTTATAACCTTATTATTTTTTTGACTTAACGTTGATTAAGAGGTAGAAAATAGATAATAACACTATTACTTTTAAGATTTAAACGGACAAGGCTGTTAAAATAATTCATTTAATATCTATGTGCATCCCACGGGGTACGTACTAGTTATCTTTTGTAAAGAGTAAATTAGGGGCGTATGGTAAGAATCAGAATTTTCCAGAGGGACCGTTAAACTTTCACTTTATGCACATGGGAATGGAACAATGCGGCCGCAAGATGTGCCTTACCCCTAGTCAGCCCAAGTTTGACTTCACCCACAACAGAGTAGGACCCACAATTGTATTCATCTCATATTCATATATCGAGATTTTCTGTTGAACAATATATTTTGAGAATATTTCGACGAATTTGTATCGTTAGATCAATTATTTTTTGACAGGTACATGATAATTTAACAGTTACAAATCCCAATAAAATAGTTCCGTAACGAAATTTTAGTATTTCCCATTAATTTACTTGGTAAGAGAATTTATAGTCGTTCATCTTCTACACACCCAAAGTCAAAATCGCAGAAAAGGAATAAAAATATAAATAAAAATCAACCATGAACCAACCACTTACTAATTACTAAATTTTTTTATAAAAAAAAAAAAGCGGGATTGAATAAAATAAATAGAAAAATAATGACTTCATGCAAAAATTCCTATGTCACGTGCCAAGCATGCTATATAAAGAGAGGGAAAACAGACCTCACAAAAGAGAACGAAATAGAGGGAGACAACAAACTTAATTCAAACAGCACACCAACTTCACTCTCCTCCACTTTTTTTTTTTTTTTT